AGATAGCTGAGAGTGTGCTCTATTCACAGAGTGCAAAGGATTTATGGAGTGACCTGGAAGACAAATTTGGACAGGCAAATGGAGCAAAGTTGTTCCAATTACAAAAGGAATTAAGTTCAGTGATGCAAGGTAATTCAAGTGTATCAACTTACTTCACCAAAATGAAAAGCCTATGGGATGAACTAGATGCACTCAATACATTTTCTGTTTGTGTTTGTGAGTGTGAGTGTGGTGCAAAAGTCAAAAGCTTGAAAGCACACCAAGATGAGAGACTATTACAGTTCCTAATGGGACTAAATGACATATTTATCGGGGTAAGGAGTAACATTTTATTGTCATCACCTTTGCCTTCCATTGGACATGCATACTCTCTTGTGATTCAAGATGAGAAACAGAGGGAAATACATGCTACCCCTGCATACTCAGGGGAATCTGCCTCATTCATTGCTACAAGCCAACCAGGAAATTTCAGAAAACTTAATGAGAACAGGATACAGAGAACAAGTTTTGAATCTAAGAAGTATTTAGGAATTTGTTCCTATTGCAAAAAACCTGGACATAGCATACAGAAGTGCTATAGAATTCATGGGTTTCCAACTGATTTCAAGTTCACAAGGGAGAAAAGATTTCAAGGAAGTGCCCAGGCAAACAAAGCTTCTTTTTCAAATGAAGAAAATGAACAGGGAGCAGAAAATGCATCAGGAGTTCAGAATCTCACCAAGGAAAATGTGGTTGAGCTGCTGCAGCTTCTTCAGCAAGTGAAAGTGGGACAAAACAGTGCAGGAACCTCTGATGTTGCAGCAAATGTGAGCTATGCTGGTATGACCAATTTATTTGAAGACTTAGCCTGTTTAATTCAAATCAATAATGAGTCTTGGATATTGTATAGTGGAGCAACAGAACATATGTCTTTCAACAAAGATTTTTTTACAGATTTAAAAACCTTGGCTAAACCTCTCATGGTAAAACTCCCAAACTCTTACAAAGTTCAGGTCACTTATTCAGGAACTGTCCCTCTTTTGCCTAATCCGATTCTTAGAAATGTTCTTTACATTCCATCCTTTAAATATAATCTGTTGTCTGTGCACAAGTTGTGCAGACAACTCAAGCAATATGTTTTATTCACACCATTTTCATGTTTTCTTCTACAGGGCCCTTCAGTGAAGAGCCCACTGGAGATTGGTAAAGAGGAAGGGGGGCTCTACATTCTCAGATCCAGTTCACCTAAGTTTAGAAGTGTTTTTATTCCAAAAAGGAATTCTGTTTCCAATCATGGTTTGTATACATATTTTAGTTTTTCTGATTCAATTGTAAAAGAAAAGCTGTGGCACTACAGATTAGGCCATATGCCCTTTAGCAATATGAAAAATATTTCATCAGTTTCTATATCCAAGTGTTCCAAATTCTCCACTCCATGTGTTATTTGTCCTATGGCAAGGCAGTCCAAACTTCCTTTTCCCTCTAGTTCTATTTCTACCAAGAAGGTGTTTGAGTTAATTCATGTGGATACCTGGGGACCATACAATAGTGCTACATATGATGGCTTTAGGTATTTTCTTACCATTGTTGATGACTTCAGTAGAGGCACATGAACCTACCTATTAACTAACAAATCCAATGCATTCACTATTCTAAAAGGTTTTTTACCTATGGTAGAAAGACAGTTTAACAGCAAGGTGAAAACTATAAGGTCGGATAATGCTTTTGAATTAGGAAGTGGTAAAGTTCAATCAGAATTTTTTGAGTCACTAGGTATTATTCATCAAACCACTTGTGTGTCCACACCACAACAAAATGGAGTTGTGAAAAGAAAGCACAGGCATCTTTTAGAGACATCCAGAGCCTTATTATACCAATCACACCTGCCTATATCATACTGGGGTGACTGCCTTCTTACAGCAACCTATTTGATCAATAGATTTCCTTCAAGTGTCTTAAAGCTTAAGACTCTTTATGAAGTTCTTTTTTCAAGCAAATCAAAGTACTCTAACCTTAGATGTTTTGGGTGTTTATGTTTTGCTTCTACTGTCTCAAATCAAAGAACTAAGTTTGAACCAAGGGTTATGCCTTGTGTGTTCTTAGGTTATCCTCATGGAAAAAAGGATTACAAAGTGTTGAACCTCGAGAATTTGAAGCCTTTCATTTCTAGAGATATTGTATTTCATGAAGAGTTTTTTCCATTTGCTTCTATTAAGTCTAGTTCTTCTTCTGAGATTTCTTTACCCACTGCTCCAGCTTCTGCAAGTCATCAGACTGAACCTTTCCCTTTTGCTATCAGACCTCACACTAAAGCTTCCCAAGAGGCTACTGAATCATCAAGTGACTTCTATTCTCCCCCCATTTCTTCAAATCATCCTAGTACACATAGTGCCTCTATCTCTCCTTCTAGTCTCTCTCCTGATTCTCTTGTAACATCTAGTCAACCACATACATCTGAACCAGTTTTTTNCCTAGTGCCTCTATCTCTCCTTCTAGTCTCTCTCCAGATTCTCCAGTAACATCTAGTCAACCACATACATCTGCACCAGTTTTTCCTTCTTTAGCTTCTGATTCTATGATGGATGTTCTTATTAGGAAATCTACCAGACCACACACAACTCCATCTTATCTCAAGGATTTTATCTGTAATGCACTCCAACTCACAGATGTTAGCAACTTTTGCTTTCTCACACCAGTTACGCCTACTTGTATATCCTTTAGTGGATTATCTTCCACCAATCAGCATATGCTAAACACATTGTCCAATATACAAGAACCTACGGACTATTTACAGGCAACACATCACCCAGGGTAGCAAGAAGCAATGAATAAAGAGCTTGAGGCACTTGAACTTAATAAGACTTGGGAAGTGGTTGAATTACCACCCGGGAGGAAAGCTTTACCATGCAAATGGGTGTATAAAGTTAAACACCATTCAGATGGGAGTGTGGAAAGACTAAAGGCAAGATTGGTCATTAGAGGAGACATACAAAAAGAGGGAATAGACTATAATAAAACTTTTTCACCTGTGGTGAAGATGACCACAATCAGATGCATACTAGCCACTGCTGTAAAGAAAGGTTGGGATCTATACCAGCTCGATGTGAATAACGCTTTCCTACATGGAGATCTAAATGAAGAAGTGTACATGAAATTCCCATCCGGGGTTGTACCTACTTCACCTACTCATGCGTGTAAGTTAAAGAAATCAATTTATGGACTACGACAAGCATCTCGTCAGTGGTATGCTAAACTTACCACTGCTTTGAATTTTAAGGGATTCACTCACTCATTAAACGACTATTCCCTGTTTTTAAAAGGTCAGCTTCCTCCATTTCTATAGTGGCTATCTACGTGGATGACATGCTCATGACAGGAAATGACAACACAGAACTACATGCTTTGAAAGAATTTCTCAATCAAGAATTCAAAATAAAAGATCTCGGGGACTTACATTTTTTTCTAGGCATGGAAGTTGTCCGAGAAACAGATGGACTCATCCTTTCTCAGCGCAAATTCACTTTAGACCTTCTCCAAGAATTTGATTCTCTCCATTTGTCACATGTTTCTTCTCCACTCGATTCATCTACTCGTTTTTCTGCTCACACAGGAGAACCAGTGCAGGATCCCACCTTATATCGTCATCTGCTTGGCAAACTTAACTATCTCACTCACACCCGACCAGACTTATCATTCACTGTCCAGCACCTCAGTCAGTACATGCAGGACCCTCGACAACCACACCTAGATGCAGCACTCCGTGTGCTTCGCTATCTGCTCAAAGATCCAGGGCTTAGGCTTTTTATGTCTGCTTCCTCCTCATTCAAGCTCCTAGATTTTTGTGACTCCGATTGGGCCACCTGCCCGGACTCGAGGAAGTCGGTCAGTGATTTTTACATTTCCCTTGGTACTTCTCCGATCTCTTGGAAATCCAAGAAGCAAACTTCCATCTCGCTCAGTTCAGCAGAAGCAGAATACAGATCTATGCGGCGAGTGGTTGCAGAGCTCACATGGTTGGTTCGTCTTTTTGGGGATTTGTCAATTCCTATTTCTCTTCCAGTCCCTCTTCACTCCGATAGCCAAGCAGCAATTCATATAGCAAAAAAACCCTGTTTTTCACGAACGGACGAAGCACGTTGAAATCGATTGTCATTTTGTACGCGACCAATACATTGCTGGGCTGATTTCATTATCCTTTGTTCGATCTTCTGCCCAGTTGGCAGATCTCTTCACCAAACCACTCAACGGACCTCTTCATCATCATCTTTTGGGCAAGTTGGGTGTGTTTTCTACCCCCTCCAACTTTAAGGGGGGTGTTGGAGTCGATGATGGAGTCGATGAAGATGATAGACAAAAGTGAGGCCATTCGGTTTGGGCATGAGGGTTTGAGCAGGTGGTATTTTGGGCCTTGGGCCTAATTGAGACTTGAGGTGGTATTTTGGGCCTTGGGCCTAATTGGGATGTGAGGGTTTGAGATTGGGCCTTCTTCAGATTTGAAATCTTATAATCACCCTTCTTCAGCTATTGTAAGAAGATAGTGCACAACACATGTCACTTTTGTATTTTAACTATTTTTCCCATACTCCCCATACCTTTATATTTTAATTATTTGTTCCATCTTTGTATTTCTTTGATGTGCAATATAGTATGTTTCCCTAGAACATCCCTGCTGTATATAAAGTTGGGGTTTGTACAATTAATACAACACAATTCTGGAATATACAAAAGCAGAAATATTCAATTCATTCTTCATTTCTTTCACCATTACAGTATCCACTTTGGTATTGGAGAAAAGGGAAAACGACAAATGTTCTATGGTGCATGAAGGCTTCTCTAATCTTACGTTATGTGGGAAAGAATAAAATGAAGTCAGCATGATTAAAAGAGAAGTTAATTAAGGGTGTGTTTGGTTTGAAAGAAAACATTTTCCTTTCTCATGTTTGGTTGGATTAAATATTTTGAAAAATATTTTTCTCATGAACTCATTTTTTTCCAATTGGAGGAAAATGTTTTTCCTATCAAAAGAAGGGAAAATATTTTCNACCCCCACCCCAACCCTCCACCCTAAATAGAATTATTATTAATGGTACTTTCTTTTTCATGTTATAGATAAGTACTTTTTTTTATTTCAACAAATGCGTATTTTTCTTTTCATGATATAAAAAAAGTTTTTTTTTTTCAATTATAACGAAAAAAGTAAAAAAAAAGTATTTTCTTTCATTTCAGAAAAAAAAATCATGATGTAGAAAAAGTATTTTCTTTCATTTCAGAAAAAAAAATCATGATGTAGAAAAAGTATTTTCTTTCATTTCAACAAAAAAAGTATTTGTTTTCATGATGTAGAAAAAGTATTTTCTTTCATTTTAATAAAATAAGTACTTTATTTTCATGTTGTAGAAAGTACTAAATCATATAGTAGAAAGTACTTTCTTTTTGAACAAAAAAAAGAGTATTTTCTTTTTAGTTACAGAGCACAAATTTCAACGTTATTTTTGGGTAAAAACGTAATGCAACACATTAGTTCCTTTGGGTTTATGTGAATTTTTAGAAGAATAATTAAATTCTTGAAGAAAATAGAGTCCTAAAAATGTTCGGTATTTGGAAAGGGGGGAGGGGGGAAGGAAGGAGAGCACAAGAAACATGGGGACTTGGGGGAAGGGGGTGAGAAGAGTAGCATAAAATTTATTTCCCTAGAAAATATTTTATAATCTCTAACCAAACACTAGAAAATATTTTTCGGAAATAAATTTTCACTCACTAACCAAACAAGGGAAAATAAGTTGTAAAACCACTCATTTTCCATGAAAATATTTTCTATGAAAACATTTCCCTTCCTACCAAACCTACCCTAAGACTTAAAAAAACAACGGGAAAGAGAAGTTGAAATCAAGGGGCTGCATCACTATCTTCAGCCAAGAGTTTTGTAGAGTCTTTGGCACTACTGGCTCCAGGCAACAGAAAGAACTTGAGGTTGAAGGTTATGAGAGAATGAACTCTATTTATAGAGTTGTCAAAAGCGTCGTGATCTTTTCCCACTTTAGTTGAACACAACTAGTGGTAAAGTTCTAAACCTATTGATTATTTCTCGAATTACTCCTGAATCAACTCTGCGATCCTCGAGTTAAGTGAGCTTCTGCAATCGCGTAACATTGGTATCAGAGCCCTCGATCCTTGGAATCATGGCGAAAGGCACATATGATCGATTGACAATTCAACTGAAGAACCAGCTGATCAACGCGAATTGATGCAGAAATTGATAGCTGATGTAGGGGCTTTATCTGGTGAAGTTTTGCATCTGAAGCAGTTGGATGGAACATTCCTTGAATTGAAAGAACAAATGACTAATTCAAGGGAACTCCAAAAGGATAAATCGTGATTACTAGATGAAGGTGAACCTTATGAAGGAAGATGTCATCAAGAGAGAAGCCATACAAACTCCAATCATTACCATTCCAATATTTCTAGGTGGTTTAGGATGGAGTCTTACGGTTTGATCTGAGATCATGGTTGTTAAAAATTGAACAATTCTTCTCTATGAAAAAGGTAGTTGCTGAAGAAAAAGTTGAAGTAGCTGCATTACAGTTGGAAGGTGAAGTTATACAATGGCACCTTTCTTTCATGAGGTACCGACAGCACCTACAACCTGCTACTTGGAATGAGTACGTCATGGCATTGGTTGAGAGATTTGGGGCTGATTTTGATGATCCGATGGAAGAAATCAAAAAGATCAAACAAATTGATAGTATGAAGGAATATCAAGTTGTTTTTTAGAAGAATCTGAATAGGGTGAGATTATCCCAAGAAAATGCAATTAGCTGCTTCATTGGAGGTCTGAAACACGAACTCAATATTGCAGTAAAGATCACCAACCCAACCATATTGTCACAGGTGTACAGAACAACTAGAATGTAGGAGGTTTACCTAGGTGCAACAAAACAAACTTTCTATGCATCAAGACCCCCATTCAAGAGATATGTTGGGCCAGGAACTACTGGTAAACCATTATTACCTACTCCTACCCTCAGTAGTTCATCTTATACTAAGGGTGTTAATAGGAGAACATTGAGTTTAGATGAAATGAATGACAAAAGAGCAAGGGGATTGTGCTACTTCTGCAATTAGAAGTATGTACCTAGGCATGGATGCAAAAATTTCAAACAGATTTACATATTAGAATTAGAGGAAACAGAGGAAATACAAGATACAGGTGAAGAACAAGAACTATAGTTGCAAGATGATAGTTTCAATGCCCTGGATCCATCTCAATCTATAGAACAGATGGAGATTTTCATTCATGCCTTGAATGGCTCCTTAGGTTATAGAATATTGAAAGTGACTGGTTACAATGATAAGAAGGCTTAAGCATTATGATTGATACTGGTAGTTCCCACAACTTTATTGATCCTTACTTGGTCAAACACTTGGGATGTAAGATCATATATACTCAACCTCAAATGGTGGCTACTACTAATGGAAATATGATGGTGGACAAGATGTGTACTATCACTTGGTTGCTGCGAGGAGCTGAGTTTTCACTAGAGTTCTTACTACTGCCCTTAGACTCTTTTGGAGTAGTACTTGGAGTGCAATGGTTGCTAGCACTTGGAGATATCAAAATGAACTTTAGAAAGCTGAGTATGAAATTCTAGTACAAAGCAAGGAAACACCTCCTTAAAGGTGCTGGCAGCCAGATCAAGGTTCAAGAATCTAACAAATTGGTCAAGCACACAGGTAACATTTCTCAACTATGTATGATTCAAGTAGTACCAATGGAAAATACTGAAGAATAGTGGAATGTATTAAAAGCTAAGGAAGAACCAGAAACAAATGCTAGATTAGTGCAACTGTTATCTGAGTATTCTAGCTTGTTTGAGGAACCTACTGAATTACCACCTTCTAAAGGTGTGTTTGATCATGGGATTGTATTACAAGCTAGTACTGAACTGGTGAACAAACGACCCTATAGATATCCCTTAGTTAAGAAGGATATCATTGAAGGGTTGGTACAACATATGCTAGATCAAGGGATCATTCAACCCAGCTATAGTCCCTTTGCATCTCTAGTGGTTCTAGTAGGGAAAAAGGGTAGAACCTGGAGGCTTTGTGTGGATTATACGGACCTAAATAAACACACAGTCAAGAACAAGTTTCCAACCCCTATTGTTGAAGACCTGCTTGATGAATTAGGAGGGTCAAAGTTCTTTGTTAAGATAGACCTAAGATCTGGCTATCACCAACTTAAGATGGCAAATAAGGATGTACCTAAAACTGCATTCATGACTCATTCTGGATATTTTAAATATCTAGTGCTGCTATTTGTCTTTTCAAATGCTCCTGCTACCTTTCAAAGACTGATGAATGCCATCTTTTAGAAGTTCCTTAGAAAGCAGGTGTTGGTTTTCTTTGATGATATATTTATCTACAACAGCAACATGGATGATCATCTGGTGCACTTAAGAGCTGTATTTGTAGAGATGAACAAACACCAGCTCTTTGGAGCAAGTGTTTCTTTAGAGTTTATAGTATTAAATACCTAGGACACTTCATTACAGTAGAAGGTGTATCTACTGACCCTCACAAGATAAAATCTATACAGAACTGGCCTACCCCAACTAACTCAAATGGCTAAGAGGATTTCTAGGTTTGGCAGGCTACTATAGGAGATTTATGAAAGGCTTTGGGGTCATCTGTAAGCCTTTAACTAAACTAACTAAGAAGAATAACTTCAAGTGGTCACCTACAGCTGATGCAGCCTTTGCAGAACTAAAGAAAGCTCTAACTAAGGCACCTGTTCTGGCTTTACCTGATGCTACCAAAACATTCACTGTTGAGACTGATGCAAGTGACTATGGATAGGAGCAGTGCTTATACAAGAAGGGCATTCTATAGCCTTTATCGGTAAGGCTCTATCACCTAGACATGCTTCATTATTTGCCTATGATTGGGAATTACCGGCTATTGTGTATGTTGTCTATAAATGATCGCAGTATTTGTTGGGACAAAGGTTTTTCATAAAAACTGATCAAGTCTCTAAAGTTTCTTATGGAACATAAACTTCACACCAATTCTCAGCTGTTATGGTTAACTAAGTTGATGCCTTTTGATTACACTATAGAGTATAAAAAAGGAGTTGAAAATGA